TCCTCTTTCGAGGGGCTAAATCTTTTGAACCTGGGGGTGTACCACGCTTTAGGTGTGCAACAGATGAATCATTCCAATTTATTTTGTCCAATAGGGACATCAACTCTTGCAGGCGCATTTGCAGATGATATATGTGATTTTGTCACTTTCGTAGCACTATTAAATGCATCTGGCATTTGATTAGCAATACTTTGAAGATGAACGATCATTGAGTGCTTCGTGGATCAAAATGAGATAAGGTGGTCACAACCCATGTCAGTTCTTGCCGTTCTTCTAGAACGATCTTCTCCCCCTCTAACGGCGGGAAAACTGTCTCATCAAAGTGACAATTCGCAAAATAAGTTGTTAAAATATCACCTATCAAGGGCTCTAAATATCTAATGATAGATAGTGAATCAAAACCCATATAAATTCCCAGTTTGTGCTAAGGTCCCGTTTTAGTATATTGTGGCGATGTAATAGGCACATAAACAGCACAACCAAAAACTCTTAAATGTGAAATGTTTGGCTTATACCCAAACACGAGTTGTACTGAGGAGTATTGATGGTTGGCTATAGGTCTCAATCGAACCAATGATGCAGCATGTAAGATGGCATGTCTCCATGTAGAAATTGGTAATTTTGTTTTCATGAGCAGAGCGTGAACTATTAATTGAAGCCGCTTCATAAATGCTTCTGCTAAACCATTTTAGTATGGATATGAGAAACAGGGTGTTCAACATCAATGCCTAGTGTCATGCAATAATCATCAAAGGTTTGAGACATAAATTCACCAGCATATCAAGTCGGATTGACTTAATAGGGGTAATCTGGGAACTGTGCTCATAATTTAATTATTTGAGCAAGAAGTCTCGCAAAAGCTACATTTCGAGTAAACAAGAGGTAAACATGTAACCATCGAGTAAATGCATCAACCAAAACCATAAAATATCGAAATAGTCTAAAAGGTGGTTGAATAGGCCCACAAATATCTCCTTGAATTCTTTGCAAAAATAATGGGGATTCAGCATCAATCTTTAACTGTGATGGTCTAATTACCAACTTCACTAGAGAACAAACCTTGCAAGGGTTATCATTTGATATAACAATGTGTCTGCTCAATAATGGATGTCCATTAGAGTTGGTAATGATTCTATGCATCACGGTGGATCCTGGATGACCCAGATAGTCATGCCAAAACATGTAAATTTTTGGATCAATGAACTTCTGGTTTATGATAGTATGTGCTTCGATTGTCTTTATGTATGTATAATACAATCCACTCGATAAAACATGCAACTTCTCAAATGTACGCTTATGGGTATCCTTGGAAGCAATGCATATATATTCCACATTTTCTGCACTTTTCGTTTCAACAAATTTCGCGTAGATCGAGTAACATATACAAATTTCGAGTACATCGAATAACATACAACATATTTTGTATAGACTATATTGTTTCATTTGGTAACATGATCTGGGCTTTTCTTGAGCCTTTAATTGCATCTGATTGGCCTGATGTTGTTGTTACCTTTACTTTTGTAAGCATCAAGCTTGAGAAATATTTTCAATCTCGAAGTATTGTATCCGTGGTTGTGCTGTCTGCAAGACAAATATCTCTGCCATTGCTTTTGTTTTGAGAATAACCATAGTTTTTATCCATGCTCTTTGAGTAAATGAATCATAGTTAAAAGCAATATATTCATAATAAAAGGAAATTGAAATACAAGCTTTAAACTACAAGTTCAGATAATAAGAGTACATGTGGGTTATGTTCAAACATAAAAATGATTCAATTGGACCGATATACTTCATTCCTTCTTTCCACAATGAAGTCTAAAACATCCAGGTGGGTTGTGTTCAATTGCCTTGATAAATTAAATACTGGATCAGGTATATCCATTGGTTTAGCCCGGTCAATGAAATTGGTATATCCATTGGGTTATGTTCAATCTCCTTGAGGGAGGCTTGATGCAGATCCACCAGATGTTTTGGGGGCACGACAAGTACGTGCCCAGTGCCCATTACCACTAATTTCTTAGAGTTCTATTCATATGAGTTATACCCTTGTGGCGATTTACATTTTTGAAGCTCGATCTTGAATTATGCCTTGGACTTGGTTGTAAAACTGGACACCATGATTCTTACCTTTCCCATTCCACCGGCCTCGCCTATGGCGACGTCCTCGTTTGTAATAATTACCACGAGAGGATGTGGTGTTCACTTCAAGGTAAACAACATTTACTTCTAGGAATAGTGCCGATCCAGTAGGTCAGGACTAATGATTTTTCATCATGAGCTCATTGTTTTGTTCAGCCATAAAGATCATCGATATCAGCTGGTTATACCCAGTAAAGCCTTGCTCTCTAATCTCTATACTACTGTTCCATGAACACGTTGGAGGCATGAAAGGTGCTGAAAGTCTTTTCTAACATATCTTCCTCAATGGTATTCTCCCCACAAACTTTCATCTGGGAGCCAATTATGAACATTGCAGAGTTATACTCGGCAAGTGTCTTGAAATCCTAGATTCTCAAGTGTGTCCACTCATAATGAGCCATTGGGAGAATCACCATTTTCTGGTAATCATATCTATTTCTCAATGCTTTCCAAAAGGCTAATGGATTTTCAACCGTTAGGTACTTGCTCTTCAATCCTTCATCAAGGTGGCGACGGATAAAGATCATGGCTTTTGCCCGATTTTGAGAGGATGCATTGTTTCCTTCCTTGATGGTGTCTCCAAGGTTTCCTGCCTCCAGATGGATCTTGACATCCATTACCCAAGTAAGGTAGTTTTTCCCAGTAATATCAAAGGCAACAAAATCAAGTTTTGCCAAGTTCGCCATTTTCTTTTTCTGAAAGAAAAATGAGATGTGTAAGAACTTGTAATAATATGTATTCTAGAGGAATGTAGTGTTAGAACTTCTGATTCTTACAAATTTTTCATTTTGATCTTCAAGCCAAAATGATAACCACTTGAAACTTCATGCTCGAGATTTACATAATTAATAAGGAAGGTGACTGTACCACACCATTCTATTGAAACAATATAGCATAGGATGGGCGATTATACTACACCACCTAAAATTGCAGTAAAATTAAACCTGCAATTCAAGATGGGCGATTGTATTGTACCATCTAAAATTGCAGTAAAATTAATATAAATAAACACTGGGTTAGTAATCAGGAGTTACACCAAACAAGAAATAAAAAATATAAGTAATTGTTATACTGAGAACTAGGAGAAGGCATGGTGCTAGCAGATCTTGGCGATGGTACATCAAGCAGGTGAGGCAGATGAGGAAGAACAGTAAGATCCTTGGAAGAAGCATTTTTTGGCGAAGGGAAATGAGAACTGGTTAGGGTTAGAGAGTTATGCTAATAACGTGTTACAAAAGTTAGAGAGATAACCTTTGCTACGGACAAGAGCAAAGCGGGTGCAATGTAACACACAATTTATTTTCGTAATTATAACACAAAAAGATTGCCGGTAAAGAGAGGAAGGAAGAGATATTGTTATTATTGCTTTCACTTCTTTTCTTTTCTGCGTGTTGTGATCATACACGGAGTGCTCCTTATATAGAGTCATATCCATGAAGAATCATAAAAGTAAAATGAGTGCATTTTGGAAAACACCATACAACAACAACAATGCTACTATTCTTAAGTCTTCCTCACTTTCATCTTTGGCTAAAACGTGTGGGCATTCATGCCCACAACTTTTACAACAAGGGAAGTAGTATTCGCACTCTAAACATTTAATTGTGCACTCCTTAAGATTACTTTTGTAGTCCTATACATAAAAAGTTTGGAGTAGATAATTAAATTTTAGAGTGTCAATAACAGTTCTAAAATTAAAATTTATTCACACTTGTCAAAATGTGAATTTCTATATTGAACGATTTCTTACATGTAAGGCCAAATATTTTCAATTTTAAAGTTAGAGAAATAATAAGGAAACTCTCTCAACATGGGACTTTCTATGGACACTTCATGTTTTTGGCACAATGATTTATAATGTTGCATATAAATTGTGCCAAAAACATGAGGTAGCGGAGAATCCATGTAGAGTTTCACTTTTGAGAGTCTCTTTAGCAGTCATAGACCAAAAATGAGACATTGAAAATAAAAGTAGTTATCTACCTGGGAATGCATACCTATATGAGAAATGCTAAGGAAACTCTTTTATAGTGAAACTTTCCATAAACTCTCCGCCACCTCATATTTTTTGCACAATATTTCATAATATTGACATGAAAATTATGCCAAGAAGATGAGTTGGTGGATAGTTTCACTTTTGAGAGTTTCTATGCCTAGATATACATCATTATTTTGACAGAAGCTGATTTGATGAAAAGAAGAACAGAAAAGGCGCACACCAGTCTACACAAACGTTTGTGATTTGCAAGAAATTTTTCAGTGTGACCGGCACACGAGATGGTACACTATACAAATGGTGGGATATGTGTGTTAAAAAGTTAATAACTTAAAAAATAAAATTTCCCACCACTTACATAAAAACACATGGTGTATCACCCGTGTTCACGTTACAATGAAAATTTTCTCGTGATTTGCATTTGGAGACTTTTGATGACAGATATTCAACTAAATTTCCCAATAATTTTTTTTGATGTCAGATGACATAGGAGATTATTTTCAATTTTTTGGTTCAAATGCTCTGAAGCTAGCTGATGGATTTCAAACATTTTGTTCCTCTTATCTGCATCTGGGATGAAGCGTGGTTTAGCTCTTCAGATTCAACCAATATTTTCATCCACGGAGTTGTTATTGGCATTTAAAAAATATCACCATGTACTCCCAAGTTTATAAAACCTGAGGAAAATTAATATAAAGAGAAATACCTAATGATATTTTTGAAATGCCAATAACACCACTAGTTCATTATTCATTCGAAGAAAATTAAACAATGGAACTTTAGAAAGTCTAAACAATAAAAAGTGATCAAGCTTTGCAGGTTTAGCTTTCAATAGATTGAAACAAAAACAGATCACTTGAGATCATGATCGAAATGTTGCACCTGAACAGCTCAATAATCCCCATCCCAAAAACTTCAAATATAAAACAATGATACTTGCCGTGGAAAAATAGCATTGTTTCTTTCATAGACACGAGGATCTAACCAGAAATAAATCTTATACCGATTTTGAAACAATAAAACTCATTCAAGACATAAAGGACGAAGGGAAACTAGTCTTGCAAAATTTCATCGCCGCTATCGTTGTCTCTCTCCCTCTCAAGATCCTTCTCCTTTTATGTATAATGTAAGTATTTTCTATCTTTGTATTCATTAGCTCTCCCAATGTATAAATATCTCTATACATCATCTTTTCCGGGTTTGTGAATGTGACCTTTCCAGCTATGACTTTCGGATTTTGCATCTTCATCATCTTCGTCATCTCCACCAGTTCCGGTTAATTGGAGGGGACCTTGGGGTGAGCCAGACTGGGAACTACTAGCCTTTGAAGAGTCTGTGTATTGATCATGGGACGTCCACAAACCCCCCAAAACAACAGCTTGATTTTTCGGGGCTGCTGTTGTGGCGCCTGGAACTCTTCTTGTGTGAAGTCGGTATTTCTGCATTGACAAAAGAAAAATTGCTCAAATTTCAACATCAACATTCAGTGTCAAAAGTAATAAAAGTCCTTGACGTGCCATTTTATTCTTTAAACGGATGAACATTCTTGAGGGGCTTCCTCAAGAAGCCAAGACCTTCTCCTTTTGTAACTTTGAAAAATTTGTACACAATCAAAGAGAAGCAAAGAAGAAGGGGGGAACTCAAAACCGACCTGCAAATGGCTCTTCACTTCGTCATTCGTCAAGCCATCAACCTGCATAAGTTCCCTAATTTGCTTTGGTGTGGCCACTGCAAGATCATAAAATCTCAAGTAAGACACTGCATATGGTGGGGGAAAATAGAGTGTAGTAATCCACCACAAAACAATCAATCCATCTTTTGGGCTACCAAATCCATGAATATCAGTTATGCAATGGATATTCGGTCTCTCTACAGATTCATGCGAATATCCTTACACAAGATTACATACGTTGATTGATGGCACATAAATATTTGTAGCACACTGCACACTACAGGTCAACCTTTTGAAAAGTAAAGTAGCCAAAGAAGGAAATGCCCATACATGCATCTTTTGCAAATTCAAAGTCCAAACATTCGACAATCCACAGTTCCAACGTGAAAACTAATGAATCCAGTCTATGGAAACTAAACAAATATGCAAATCAAATAAAGTCGGGAACCAACTCCAAGTTAAGTGGTTAGAATCTAGACTCAATATCTAACTGTTGACGAAAACAAAAGTTCCAATATCTTACTTTACATTAGGACCTGCATTTTCAGATTCAATATCTAACTGTTGACGAAAACAAAAGTTTCAATATCTAACCTTGTGAACCTCCAAGTTGCTGCAAGGTATTGACGAATCTCCGATGCAACTCCGGCGACCAACACCTTCTCTGTTTCCGGCTAGTTGGCTGCTGCGGCAGAGTGCGCATATTGGATTGAGCATTGGCAGTAGGGAAGAAGGTTGACCGGCCACAAGTGGATCTTGAACCACTGGAAGTTGATTCCTCCCTTGGATTCTTAATCCCTGGAGTGAGCAGAGACAGCCCACGAACTGGCAATTCCTCCTTCTCTTCTAGCCTTACCGGCGTCACAGAAAAAGCAGGGTACCCCTTAAATGGCATAAATGCTTTTCCTCCAGTCCTATTTCCACATGTCTGGAAAGGATCCTCATTTGCTACCCCGTTTTCTGCTTCATTTCTCTGCCATAATTTTATCAGATTATCTCAGTTAGAAGATAAATTTCAATAATTTTATGTAGTTTTGTTTAGAAGATAAATTTCAATGCTTTTATGTAGTTTTGATGTTTCATTCGTTTACCTTAGAATCAATTTCGGAAACTCGCTTTCGATCATATGGGAAATCACTAGAGGGATGTTGTTGATAATTATCAGTGTTCCAAAGCTGAACAGAGCTCATCCAATTCTTCTTATCCCTAGAGTCTTTTTCTTTCTTATTGTTATTGCTACTTCCTCCCTTGTTTTTATCACAATCATTCTTCAGTGGTATGAATTCTTCCAGCACTGGTTGAATATCTGGAGCCGTACATTGCATTGCTTCTTCCTTCAGAGCTCGAATCACTGCAAACAATATGAACAAAAACAAACCCAGCAAAAGAAAAGTTAAAAAAATAAGAACCCATCAATCAATATCTTCAAAACTCAAAACCCATCATCCAAAATCAACAGAAACCAAAAACCCATTTCTGAAATCGAACTAAATGAATTATTTCTGGATACCCATCTATCGAAATCATCAGGAATCCAAAACCCATATCCCAAATTTTTAAAAAGCTGTGAAAGAACTGGAAAATGTGTATAACGAACCATCGTTCAAGAGGAGCATGCAGAGAGGAAGCTCGCGCTTGAAGGCGTCGATCTTCCTCATCTCGTCCTCCAATCTATTGACAAAATCGTCAAGCTTGGACAGCCTCTCGGACACATTTCCGATCATTGAAACCTCCTTGAGGAAATCACTGATCGTTTTGGGCACAAACATGGGTCTAAAATCCAAGCTCAGTTCTGGAGGAACCGAAGACATTTCAATTTTTGGAGATTTAGATCCTTTCTTTCTTTCTTTTTTCCAGATAATTGGTTTCTGCTGTAATCTCTCTATCTTTTGTGTGAATTAACCAGAGAGGTGGAAACAAAGAACCAGAAATAGTGAGGATCTATTTACATAGGAGATGATGTTATACATATATAGTGATTGATGAAAAATGGAAAATGGAAAGGCGAGAGGAAGAAGAGAAGATTCTATTGAGGGAGAGAAAGCACGGCCAGGTTTGAAGGGTTTTGAAAAGTCTCTTTCGTGGCGTCGCATATTTTATCTACCGTTCCGTGCCTCCGGAGTATCAACTCGGGCATCAAATTTTTTTTTTTTTTTTTTTTGAAACCTTTTAGGTTAGTTCACTCAGTCATTGAAAATCTATTTAAAATCACACTTTAACTCCCTCATGTTTTGATCGACTTCAATTTCAATTTCATACATTTGTTCTTTATTTCATTTCAATTTTATAAATCTGTTAGAAATTTGTTACGTTAATCGTTGAATAATGACGTAGTAACAGTAAATTCCACATTTGTGTTAACATGGTTGCCAAACTTATGTAACATGACCAAACAATTAATAAAAAATATTTAATGATTGATGATTACTTCACTTCATTTAATATTTTATCTAAAAAATTAAAAAAATAAGTAAAAATAATCACACATCTTTCCCTTCCTTGAACACGCCAACAACACCAAAAGCAAAACCCCTGCCTCAGGTTTGATGAGTCTGAATCTTCTGAAGAGCAAGAGCGACGATGCTCCTTGATAGGGAGAACCCTAGGGGCGCGACCAAAGAAGATCACCCTCGTATCCCCATCAAGGCAAAGGTCCTGGTCAGGATCCCATTTTCTCCAGCAATGGAGTCCATGCCACCATTAGGGACACTATCTTAGCCAATATTCAAGTCTTTCCGCAGAGACTCTAATCCGGATTGTTACATCATGCACTACTGTAACATCATGGCACTGTATAGGTACTTGGTTGTGCAAAATGTTCCCATCCACCTTGAAATGAGCCGCAATGAGGTGGTTCTCAGAATTGCCGGCTAGGTCCATCGACTCCTTTCAAAGCCTAGCTGATCTTTTTACAAACACCTACATGAAGCGTTTTCGTGTGAAACTTGCAGAAGTAGAAAAAGTTAGTCGACATATTGGCCACTATGGCATTCGAACAAGGTTTTTATGTTCACTTTTCTCTATCCCAAAAACTAAACAAGAGGAAATATAACTGCGCCATTTTGATTGAGTGTTTTGACATGGCAGACGATCTCGTTGACTGGAATGATAAGACAAAAAGGATAGTTGCCGATGCGGACTATGCCAAGAATGCTGGTTGAAGGAAAAATGACCAGGATACCCCTCTGCCTTCTCCATGTTAGGCGGATAGAAGAGGCTGCTGAGACAGGCAAACCCCTCCAAAACCAAAGGACAAACCAACCTCAGGCCTCCAAAACCTTTCCCTGAACATCCGACAAAAAATAAAAAAATAAAAAATAAAAAATGAATGACTATTGCTTATTCCACCCATAAGAATATCGACCACATGACCAGAAGTTGCCACACGCTAAAAGATCATATCGAAAAGCTTTATGACCAAGGACATTACTAGGAGTTTGTTAGCGACATGGCAAGAAAAGAAGGATTAACTAAACCAAAACATAGGGATAGGTTCGACAAGCATACTAACGATGAAGATCGCTGCCTGGCAAAAAAAGTCCACCCTTAACATCAATTGCGTCTATGGAGAAAACTAGGCCCCAGAAGGTAAAAAAATGGGCAAATAGATTGCAAGGAAGCCAATCCCCATCACCTTAAGAAGTACCCCTCGCCGGCGCCTTTAAATCAATTATAAAAAAAAAAAAAAAAACAACACCCAAACTACATGCGATTTGATTCCCTTCCCAAGATATATAGGCCGTCCATTCCGGACTCAATCACAACACCGCCGTTTGCGCGAAGACAAGTCCATGGAAAACTCATCTCCTAATGCCCCTGCCATAGGCTTATCAACAAAGATGATCTTTAATACAATCTTATATTATATCTTTTTTTTTCTTAGAATACACCAATGATTTTATACTCATTCCTAGAGACATGTAGGCATCCGGATTCAATCACACTCCCTTGTCAAATGACCATGAAATTTGTTTACCTTATGTTTAATGATTGTTCAATTCTTTTTATTTTTTGATGGTGTAGGGAATACCTAACCATTCAAGCAAAAACATAGACTTTGAGAGCTTTACAGGATTACAAGTCTAAAAATTAAAGTAACTGTAACATCCCACATCGCCCAGAGGAGTGGATCATGTAAGCCGTATATGTATATTCTCATCTCTACCTAACACGAGGCCTTTTGGGAGCTCACTAGCTTTGGGTTTCATCAGAACTCCGAAGTTAAGCAAGTTCGCACGAGAGCAATCCTATGATGGGTGACCCACTAGGAAGTTCTCGTGTGAGTTCCCAAAAACAAAACCGTGAGGTCGTGGTCGGGGCCCAAAGCGGACAATATCGTGTTACGGTGGAGTCGAGCCCGAGATGTGGTGGGGGACGGGCCGAGATATGAGAATTTGGTATCGGAGCCAATCCCTGGTCGGAAGTGTGCTGACAAGGATGTCGGGCCCCTAAGGAGGGTGGATTGTAACATCCCACATCACCCAGAGGAGTGGATCTTGTAAGCCTGATATGTATATTCTCATCTCTACTTAACACGAGGCCTTTTGGGAGCTCACTGGCTTCGGATTCTATTGAAACTCCGAAGTTAAGCGAGTTCGTGTGAGAGCAATCCTATAATGGGTGACCCACTAGGAAGTTCTCGTGTGAGTTTCCAGAAACAAAACCGTGAATGCGTGGTCAGGGCCCAAAGCGGACAATATCGTGCTACGGTGGAGTCGAGCCTAGGATGTGGTGGGGTCCCGGGCCGGGATGTGATAGTAACGCTATCAGAGTCACTTTTAGCCAATTCAGTATTAATTGGTTAGCATCTTGAGAGACTCAAGCCATAACAAGTGTGGTTACGATACGACTGCTTCTTTTCCGGACAAATATACTAAGTCAAGTATGTTGTGCGACACCATGTTTCAGCAAGTCTGAAGGGGCATCCAAACTAGGTAATCCTCAAGAGAAATTTTACCCTAAAGGAGCTTTGATACCTAGAAATACTTCGGCCAAGTCAGTTAAACTAGTCTGATAAAAAACGCTCAGGTCCGACGTATAGTATCCTACAAAAGAATTCCAAAAGTATTTCCGATCTGACAAAAGGTAATGTTCTTCCAAATCAACATTTGCGTGGGGGGCTTCAAGCTATGTCCGAGGCCCTCAAACTTACTCATGTTTCGCTCTGTCACTCATTACTTAGAAGTTAGCTTACTTTGAAAAGATTGACGGATTAAACTATACTCTACAATGTATAAGCAAAAGATGGAAAGCTTTCAGCCTTAATCGCTCAAGCAAGAATTGCTCAGAAGGTTATAACATCATTCAAAACATTGTGCATTCATAAGGAAAAGTTTGGCAAAAGAAGAAAAATGTATGCCCATGATTGTGCAAAGAAATTCAAGATAAGGATAAGACATGGTCTCATCGTAGCTAAATAATAAGATGCAAAAAAATAAACTTAATGACTATGGTTCATTATTAGCAGTCACATCCACAGACCCCCTTGGACCTATTGAATAAGGGTTAACATGAGTAACATTAGGATCAGTCGAATAACCTCTTTCGATGGACCCTCGAATTTAGAAGATGACTCGCTTCCTTCAGATATCACGAGCTTCGCCGCTTCAGTCGTAAGAGAAGAAAGCAAAGGCAAACCAACCTCTCTGATTTCCGCCAGCAAACGACTCGAATCCCATTCGCCACAATGTCCTTAGCTCGCATAACTAGCGAGATATCCCTGGTTGTACTCATGCTCCGTTGACTCTTTAAACAACTTCTTGACCTCCGCCAAGTCCACTTTGCTTTGTTGAAGGATTTTCGTATGAAACTTTTTACTTTGATATGTTTCCTTTTGAGCTGTATCTAAGGCTAATTGAAGAATGGCTTGGTCAGCGTTCCACCAGCTTTACTCTTAAGCCAACACTCACTCTACTTCCTCTTTAATTTTAGCGCTTGGTCGACGTTGTCTCAGCATCACGCAAATGCTCTACTAGCGCACCTCTCTTGGCATTTAATATCGTTCGGCATCCAGAAACACCTCCATCCTAAAACTCTTCTCAAACAAACTCATTTCAAACTTAATCATGTTTCCTAGTTTGCTCTTATAGGCTGCCTCGATCTTCGAGATATTGTCTGCTTGACCTTGAAGAAAAGCTTTCATCCAAGTGTTCGTCTAAAAAGGAGAACAGTCCTGAAGACTAGGAAATAGGGGAAAATGGCATGAAAATAAAAAAGACGAAAAAGCTAACCCCATATCTGTTATGGTATCATTTTTCCAAATAATCAGCATCGGCGGTCACTTCCTAAAATCAGGAAAAAAAAAGAAAAAGAAAAAAAAGACAGTTGAACGAACTAAGGCTTGGGCATGCTTGGTGTTACGCATGACACTTACGTTAATGAGAAGCAGCTCTGAAACATGATCATGCCTGATCACTAAACATTGTGCTCTGGAAGAAGTTACTTCAGAAGAGACGAACATGGCAGGTGGTGGGATCGTTGACCCTTCTCTCGCTTACCAAGATTGAATCATGGATCAATGAAATGGAAGCCCGAATTGGAGAGCGCTGTTATTGTAGTTGTTGTTATTGTTTTGACTATGGTTATCTGTGTGTGACATTCGGGGATGCCTGCCCCTAAAGAACTGCGACATAATTCTTATTCTTCCTGAAAGGAGGTTCACTTCCTTCCTCGCTATCAACCGTTGGAGACTGTTGAAGACCATTCTCAACCAAGGAATTAAGATCAACAATTTCCAAGACCTTTTCCTAACGGCCGCCAGAGCTACTCGCTAATTTAGATTTTTTCTCAGAGACTTTGACATGGGTTTCTTTTGGTACAACACCTTCAACTTTCTTTCTCTTATTCTTCTCATCTTATGGAACATCCCTCATAGTTTACGAAGTTAAAGGTACCCTGGCCACTTTGGCTTCAACCTATTTCGGGTCTAGGATGGGTTAACTAGAGTAAGGATCTACAATGACATCCCTCCTATGCTCTCTTTTTCTCTCATGAGCTATAATCCATTTGCGACTCTGATGTGTAGCCAGAATAATCCGAAAGGCCCTATTAATGAGCTGAGGGTGGCAT